CGGTATCCGGTTTTTGGTCAGTGCACGCTTTGCCATGGACCTGTGCGTCGGCTAAATTAAAAAAAAATTAGAAAAGAAAATAAAATGTTTTTTTTCTTTTTTGAGGAGGGGTATAATACCGGTATAATGTCCATACGCTGCCAAACTTGCTTGATCGACTGGGATGCTGCTACTGCGTAATTTAACGTGTTTTAGATGTGTACAGTTGACTAATCTTGCCCCCATAATTTAGTCCGGCACTCTCTTTTAGATGACGTCATTTCTGTATCATACATTTACATCTGGGAACCAGACAAATCAACTGTTCTTATGCCCTGTGAGCGTACGTCTACAGGCTGAAAACGCATTTTAAACAATAAACAGTGAGGGACAGTCTATTTCAGTGTTATAGTAGCGGCCATACGTACGCATGCAGTCGCGATGGACCTCGCGCGTTATGCGAACATCATTTCTAGGGGAAAAACTTAAGGTAAAAAAAAAAAAAACACCACTTTTGGAGTCAGCACCTGACCAGAAACCAGAGGCCTTTTTTTTCACATGAAATCATGTCGGAGCTTGAAGAGACGAACTGTGACAAAGAAATGCCGTATTTTAAGCTTGTGAATTGACTTAGAACTGATTGACTTGTGAGCGACTGGTGGTGATCGATCACTTGGTGACTTTTGAAAAAATATGCTTTTTGAAAATCAAGGTTAAAGGTCATTTATTTGCATAATTTTTCTTTGGCACGTGTAATAATTTTGGTTTTATGTAAAATTGTGTAAGTGTTTATCTTTATCATTACTTCAGGCAGGTCAACTGATTCGTCTGAAGTTCGTCAACAAAACCAAATCGACTGACTGACATAAAAATTCAGTTCTGGGGGTTTATCAAGTAATCCGATTAGCATATCGAATATATCGCAAAAAGTGACCGTTTTCAACTGACACGGAATGACGCGATATTATATCACAACTCTTCTGAGGAGTGGGGCTATATTTCGGAATCTATGCGATCTGGAAGGGTAGTCGGATAAAAAAAATCGCCTTTTCCTTTGTGTAAACAAAATTGCTCCTTTTTAGTCAGGAAGCACATGGCCCCGTTCCCTGCCCCCTCTGCCGCTGACGGCCTACACATCCCTTGCTGCTTGTGACCTTTTCTCACAATCTCTCAAGTCCTATAGTCTAGTATATAGACCTTTTTTCCCGCGATGTCACGATCGTGCTGGGCCCAGGATGTGTTGTGATGGTTATGTGCACGGTGAGTGTGGTAATCCACCTATACAAGATAAACTAGTCAAGCATGCAGCGTTTGCACGTGCGCTTGCACGTCTTTGAAGCTGCCCGTAGGAATATGTGCGATCGTCGTGGCCACAAGTGGTGGTATTGTTTACATTTAGTCACCTTGGGTGAAAAAGGTCTATAGCAGAGCAGTCACAACAATGGTCCTGTTTGTTTTCCTTTGTCAGTGCGCTTCTATAATCATAAGTTCAATTAGTGCAGTCTGTGAAAGTGTAGCAGCTCGAACTCTGCAGATGTCACTCATACCTTTGTAAGGAAACACCCCCTCCGTACATGTACGTCTGCAGTGAGTTTTCTAAACGTACATTTATAGTAGACTTGTCGCTAGGCACTGTCGTGTTTTGTCTGTTAGCTCAGACGGCATAAACATTTGTGAAAACAGAGATTCCAAAGTATGATGATGCTCTACCGGTCCCAAAACCAGACAATTTAGACCGCAGCAAGTTGGACCCTCGCACGTAAGTGCAGCATATAACATTTCCTTTTTCATATATCACGGAGAAAGAAATATTATGAAATTATCTCTCCTCCAAATCATGTAGGAAGGACAATATCACATAATATCATTTCTTTAATTATCTTGGAGACGGGAAAGTTGTTAGCTGAATCGATTACAATGGACATAGAGTTGATGATTGCAATTGCATGGTGTGGCATAACGGAAGAACTGATTGGAGTAAGTTTGAAATTCGTTCGGTTCGCAGTAAGTTTGCTGGCCAAATGGTTGATGTAACGGTCTTGTTTTGACACTTTTATGTTATCAATCGAGTATTAACCGATACATAGATTCTTCAATGCTGCTTTTGGAGTTGGTGCCGCGTGCAGGGAAGAAATCTCCGATGGACCAGTCACTCACGTGTGTTCAGTATCGCAGTGGCATATATCTGGACATTTTTAGCTAATGCACAAGCAAAATTGTACAGCGCCGCGTAGCGAAGCAAGATGGGGAACTTCACCATGAATACGCGTAAAACGTTGTTATCACATGGGCGCCATTCTAGTTGGACTACGCCTGCGCAGTGCATGTTAAAGCGCAGG